GGGGGGAGTTGAGGGGGGTCAGTGGGTGAGGGAAAGGAAGGAGGGGCAGGAGCAGGTTGAGCGGGAGGAATGACAACGGGGGCAGGACCTGGGACACCCATGGTCTCCCAGATAGTGCCACAGATTGCTGTCCGCTGCTGGAGGAACTCCTCCAGCAAGCAGTCGAGCCACTGAGCCTCTTCCTGCGTCCTCTCTGCCATGGTCTCCTCCATGGGGGGTCAGTGGGTGAGGGAAAGGAAGGAGGGGCAGGAGCAGGTTGAGCGGGAGGAATGACAACGGGGGCAGGACCTGGGACACCCATGGTCTCCCAGATAGTGCCACAGATTGCTGTCCGCTGCTGGAGGAACTCCTCCAGCAAGCAGTCGAGCCACTGAGCCTCTTCCTGCGTCCTCTCTGCCATGGTCTCCTCCATCCTTTCCAGGGCCTCAATGTGCCTGCGCATGAGGTTGTTGTAGATCCACCAGTGCCTGCAGCTTCCGTGGTGGTGGGACAGGTGTTGCACGTTGGTCTGCTCCAGCAGTGGAGGATCAGAGGGAGAAGTGATCACTTAGCATGCACACACTGTCCCTGCTTGTGATCAGTAAGTCCTTAGAACAAGGGACACCAGTGTTGTCACTGCAAGCCCACGTCTGGCCTGGCCACATCCCCAGCCTCACAGGGGACCCAAGGTGGCTAGGGCAATGTCTTGCCTCTTCCGCAATGGCCGTACAGCCCAGGGAAGTGTCCAACCACAGTGGGTCACCAGATGTAGGACAGGGGCCTGGAGCAACTTCGGTCTCCCACGGCCCCCACCCACCCGCTTGCCTGTGGCAGCACTGTCTGCAGGAGCAATTGTTGTGTTGCATGTGCATACATGGCCGAGTGCTATGTGTGACACTTGCAGTGGTTTGTGTAGTGTCGTGTGTGCACCCTTGTGACCAGCCTGCATCCCGCAGTGCCTGGTGGGAGGACAGCCCTTCCTGGGGTCAGATATGTGTGGGGCCCTCCCCGAGCTGTGTGCCCTGGGACTGAACGTGCTTGCACATGCACAGAGAGGTGCAAGTTGTCCAGGAAGAGCATGACAAGTGAAGATTGGCCCACATTCCCTGTGCTCCCACCTCCCCCATTCTGTGTGTGTGGCAACCTGAGCGCACTCACCTGATGTTCCTTCACCAGGGTCAGAAGATGCCTGCGAGGCCTCCTGGGTCTGGTGGACCAGCTCCAGGGTGAGGGTGACAAGACTCCTGTTGGGGTACTCCTACTCCTCTTCCTCCTGCAGCTGCTGTTCTGGGTTGTCCTCAGCCACTTCCTGGCGGTGCTGGACAGGTGTCTCCAACCCTGAATGGAGGAGCACCCATGCAGAGACAGGTTCCTCACCTCCCAGGATTCTGTCCAGCTCCTGGTAGTAGCTGCAATAGTGAGGCACTTCCCCTGAAGTGGAGCTATGCTCTCGGGCCCTGGCATAGCCCTGCCTCAGTTCTTTTACCTTGGCCCGCACTTGGTCCAAGGTTCGGGGGTGATGGCCTTTTTTTGCCAGCCCCGTGGCTGTAAATATCCGCATTTCGCCATCAGGAATGCAGAGCCTGCAGGGATTCCTCCTCTCCCCAAAGTTCCAATAACATCAGGCCCTGACCAGGCTGGAGCTCGCCTCTTTGGCCCCCTGGATGGGTCGTGGGATGGCTCCCTGGAAGGTCCTTGGCAGCCTGGCAGGGACAGCCATTTGGTCAGTAGCTTCCTCTGGCTGCCTTCCTGCCACAATGGCTACCCAGGGTGCCTGTGCCTATAAGACATGGCTACAGACAAGAACAATAGAGGTTTTTCCTGCAGATGGAGTGTCCACCTGGGCTTTTCCCTGGAGATCTGTTTTTTCAGAAAAAAAACCCACATCCACATGCTTTTCGACAAATCTGTCGAAAGAGGCATTCTTCCTAATAAAACTAGATTTACCACTATCAACAAAACCGCTGCATTCTTTCAATTTACTTTTGAAAGAACACGGTGGCAGTCCAGACGTGGGTGAAGTTTAAAAAAAAAAAAAAGGCAACTTTAAAAAAAAACAAAAAACTGTAGTCTAGACATACCTGCGGTGTCCAACATGCTAGCCACATGGCTAGTTGGCTTGAATAATAAAAACTCAAAAATTGATGCCTTAAAAAAATTTTTAAATCAGAACAAAATTTTTCAGAGAATAGTAATAAAAAAAAAAGTTCAGCAGAGCTCAGATTTGATCCATCTGCTGGATGGAGACTTCCACCGGTTCACAGAATAGCTTAAATATGCTGCTTAGGCCAGAAATTATTTATAGGCCTGTCAAGCAATTACAAAATTTAATTGCAAGTAATCGTGCAATTGATCATGTGCGCCTCCCCTTTGAAATGCCATGGCAATGTGTCTCTAGAAGAATCTCTAGCTGACCCTGGGCTCCATGCAGCTCTGCCCCTTGGAAGCACTGTAACAGTGTTTCCAAAGGGCAGCATTAGGAGCCTGGGACCCGCTGGGAACTCCAGCTGATGCCCAGCTCCACTTGCACTGCCCCTTGGAAATGCCTCTGCAGTGCTTCCAACAGGCAGCGCTTCATGGAGCCCTGGGTCAGCTGGGGCTATGGGTGCATGCTGTCATCTTCCTGGCTGTGGCTCTCAACTACAGCAGCTGTTTGCCAGCCTTGTTCTGCAGTACACTTGTCTAAGTTTATATTTTCACATGGCATTGCTATGTGTACCTGAAATAGCTCTTATCTACCATGCTATGTGATTTTTGGCATACATATCAGCAGTTCTTTTGCTGGTTCAAAACTCTGTGTATACAGCTTCCTTCTCCTTCTGTCCTCCAGCAATCGGATCCACCGGTTTCTGAATCTCCCATGCTGGAGTATGTTTGTGATTCTGCATATGTATGCTCAGCTGTGCTGGTGAGCAGATCAGCACTGAAATTTGCATAGTTATGGTAATCAATATAGCTGCATATTCATTATGGTAATTTTAGCCTAGGTATGTCAAGCACATCAAAGGAGGGAGGAGATGATGATTAAGAAGAATTTGAAAAACTGCTGCACACACATGTAAAAAAAACAAACAATAAAATAGTTGCTAATACTTGTTAAAGAGTATTCTCAGGCCCAATCTTTTGCCTGAATTGCACCAGAATTAGAGACAGTACTAACATCTGACAGTGCTGACATTCTGCACATTCATATTTTCCTATGTACTGCATAATAATGTGGGTACTGGCTGGCCGGGAACAGCTGGAGGAAGCTCCTGCCAAGCAGGTAGAGAGAAGAGGGTCTCAGGAACAACCCCCCTTCACGTGGCCCTGCCATGTAGCGATCACCGGAGCTAGGGCCACAGGGAGGCTGCCTCAGGTCCCGGCTCCAGCTGTAGCACACCCAGCTATCTGCCATCCCACTCACCCTGTTGCTGCCTGTGGAAGTGAATTCCCTGGGAACGCCAGGGGGTAGAACTAAATAAAAGCTGGGAGTGTGGCTTGGAAACATGCAACAGCCCCAGCAGACAGGAGTTAGGCCAGAGGCTGGTGGCAGGCTCCTGGCAGTTGAGAACTACTGTGTTAAGTGGTCTGCATCTACTACATATACAGCCCTTGCTGTACAGCCTGAAACTAAGAAAAGGGCCCCCCCCAAGCAGCATGCTGAGCAGGCTGGAGTTTGAGAGCCCCTAGGCTGCTTTTCATTTTCCATGTAAAAGCCAACATCTTAAAAAATTCACCACTTGTCATATTTGGCTTAAGATGGAGACTATTGGCAAATTTTCTAACCAAAGTTATATTTGAAAGTAGTCCCTCAGCAGAATTTACACACTTTATTCTGGTTAAACATTTATATTGGTAAGGGGCAACCTAGGTTATATCTAGGCCCCTAGGCTGCTTTTCATTTTCCATGTAAAAGCCAACATCTTAAAAAATTCACCACTTGTCATATTTGGCTTAAGATGGAGACTATTGGCAAATTTTCTAACCAAAGTTATATTTGAAAGTAGTCCCTCAGCAGAATTTACACACTTTATTCTGGTTAAACATTTATATTGGTAAGGGGCAACCTAGGTTATATCTAGGGGGGGCGCGAAGGAGAACGACAAGGAGAGGAAAGAGGAGGAGGGACCCGTAAGATTGTCCAACAAAGGCTGTTCTGGGATAAGCACAGTTAACTATCCTATATACCTAGAATTTACAGGATATGCTGATTAAACTGTAGCAGCGTTCTGATTAGATGCAGAGGGAGGACAGAGCTCTCAGTCAATATTGCGTACCATCAGTACACCTCATGTACACTTGCTTTAAGTGCATGTCACTTTTGTAATGCTGTGAAAAAAACCTACACAGACAAAAACAATAGAATCTAGAAATACTATTGCCCATGCACAGGAAACAGTCTTATAGGCCACACTGAAGCCCACTGAGTTCTGGTTGCCCCCCAATGATTAGGAGGTGCAGCCTGTATTAAACCAGAACACTTTTGTCCAACAGCATGGGTTATCCAGATAGACCAAGGATGTTCGAGGGTCAGTTCTAGGGCACTGTAGGGGCAAGGGGGCTCAGGAGGCCAGCCCAATGGAAAAGGGGGCAGCACATGGTCCAGCTTAGGGATGAGGGGCCAGGAAGCTTAGTGTACAGCCCAGGGGCTCTGGGGAAGATAGGGGGCAGAACAGACCTACTCTGGTCTAGGATGAGCGATTCTGCTGGACCAGTCAGGTCCTGAAGGTATGAGACCAGGGAGGTTGAACCTGTTTTATAGTATTTAAGACCACTAATGGGATGGTCTCTATTGTGCTACGGTGCTGCAAGGTAGGGGATAACTATCTTCAGGTGTCATTAGACTCAAGTTTGTCATTAAAATGTTTGTTCTCACTGACAGCAGCCTATTTCCCCTTTTTAGAAAGGCCCCCACCACTCAACATGTGTCTTGGAAAACCTGGTCAGTAGTTATATTTTGTTCTTTGAACAGAAGGACTACTTTATGAATGACTCAACACTGGAGAGATGTGTGTACACAACAAGCTGTACCTGGATTCAGGGGGTACCTACAATGATAAGATACAGGAATGGATTAGAGTCCAGGATCAACAGTTGCTATTGGATAATTATTTCCCTTCATCCACTGAAGTCATTATGGGTACACGTCTAGACTACACACTTTTCGAAAAACTTTCCGAAAGATCGTCTAGACAGCCACCATTTTTTGGGAAAAGTGATCCACTTTCTCAAAGAGAGCACTCAAGCCATCTGCATGCTCTTTCGAAAAAGCCATTTGCACTTAAAGATGCCATTTTTCAAACCAGTGCTTTTGAAAAAAAAAGTGTTCTTCCTAAAATGAGGTTTACCGCTGTCAAAAAAGCGCCACATTCTTTCGATTTAATTTCAAAAGAGTGCCAGCAGTCTAGACACAAGTGAAGGTTTTTTAAAAAAGGTCACTTTAAAAAAAAAACCCTGTAGTCTAGACAGCCTTACAGATTTCCTCCTGCCGCTCTTTAGCCTTTGCCAGAAACAGCAGAAAGGAACGATGGAGTTGTAGATGGATTAAATGACCGCCATCCTAGATGTTTCCCAAATGGCTATTTTATTGGGAGCTCACTACATGCCAGAGCAGCAACCCTAGCTGCTACTAAGGTCACTTTAAAAAAAAAACCCTGTAGTCTAGACAGCCTTACAGATTTCCTCCTGCCGCTCTTTAGCCTTTGCCAGAAACAGCAGAAAGGAACGATGGAGTTGTAGATGGATTAAATGACCGCCATCCTAGATGTTTCCCAAATGGCTATTTTATTGGGAGCTCACTACATGCCAGAGCAGCAACCCTAGCTGCTACTACTGGCTTCAGGAAGGAAAAGCAGCTACACTCTGCTACAGGCAGAATGGAACTGCCATAACTAGATAATACCCAGCTATAGACTTCCCCCCCCCACAATTCACCTAGAAAAGTCTGCTTTTCAAACTTGGTCACAGGGGTGCGAGGGTAAGCCACTGGCAGGCCCACGCCACTTTGCTTAATGTGTCTGTAGCCATGGAGCGTTGCAAGTCCCATTGGCTGCTGTTCCCAACCAAGGGGAGCCTTGCAGCTCCCCAGCTTATGGACACATTAAGTAAACCAAGTGACATGGGTCTGCCAGTGACTTACCCTTGGAGCGCCACAACCCGCGGAGCGCCACAACCAAAGTCTGAAAAATGCTGTCCTAGAGAACATTACCTTTGAATTCTAGTTTGCACTATTCGCAACTGTCCCATGAAACATTGGAACTAGCTGCCACTATACCCAGTATTTATGCTATAGGTTGTTTATTCAGCAACTACGCTTCTACACCTCCCAGAAAATGGGACCTTAACGATGTGCCCCGTATGCACCAAGTTTTAAGAGGTAGAGTATTTTGGTAGAGTTTATTTATCAAGTACACATTCTCATGTAAAAGCAACAGATACTATTTACATTAGAAATACATAGTATTTCCATTTTGTAGAAGTGACCACATTCAGTCTGTAACACCTGTTTAGATAGTATACAGCTATTTCCATTGCTACATGTTACCAGTTAAAACCCATTGTGAACATTTAAAGCTTCCACAAGACTTAATTTATATCCGAGGTAAACTTTGGCAGTGTATTCTTTCAGTCATTTAGTAATTAAAATAGGAAGCCACATGTACACTGGCCACTCAAGTTTGCCAAGCCATTTTCACAGACTTTTAGCTATCTTTGTAGGTGAATCAGTAGCATCCTCCTTAGCAGCACATGAAACCTGTGAAGGCAGCTCTTCGGAATCACAATCTACATCACCCTCAGTATCACTCTCTTCATCTTCCTTCTCAAATTCTTCCAAGTCTAGATTTTTCAGTGACTGAAGGCCATCAGGTGCCTGCCCAGTTAGTCTCTAAAAGATAGATGAGAGAATGCTTAAGTATGCATTTTTATTTCCATAGCAAACACTGAAAGTTCTCATTGCCTAGTCTAAATGTATTCAGTTTCACACTGTTAGCCAAGCCATCAAGTGATAAAGTTATGCCTCAGAATGACAGTCTACTAAAAGCAGTCGGCCCCCCCAATGCAGTAGTGTTGCAAATTACAGCTGGCTTGCTAAGATTAAGGTCCACCAGATTTTTTAGGCATCTAAGGCCACATTTATTTTATATCAAACTCCATATGTTTAAGGGACTATATGAGATTAAACTTAATACCCCCTTAATATGGTTTTCATTCCACACACTACATTGCTATAAAAAGTTTCATATCAGAGCTTTACAAATAGTTTCACAGCTGCCAAACCAGAGGCAAAAGCTCAGTAGTGACATGTAGGTTCTTGATTCTGGAAGAGCTGATGACAAAATGCTGAAGATGTAGGTAACCCAGAACAGTTTGTCTTAGTTACCAACAGATTCCCTCTCTCTAAGAGACGTAAGAACCAGTGTTAGAGCATTCAAGAGTTAACAGCTTAAATTTCTATCAAAATGGGGCTCCAAATTAAGTATTACATTATGAATGGCAACCTCCATTGTACACATCAGTTTAGACAAAATCTTTTCTTTTATCCTTGTTTAGGGTGGCCTTATAATTCTATAGGACAGTAAATATGAAATGAATAAATCTGTGTACAAGAAATGTTAAAGAATTAAATTAGAGCTGGTAAGACCCTTCCGGCTCATCTAGACTACGGGGAAGATTCAAAAGAATATGCAAATTTCTGTGGAATTTGCATATCTTCTTCCAATCTCACTTTCGAAAATGAAAGTTTAGACATGGCTTTTTCGGCGGCACTCCCTACCCCCCGAACAGCCACTTTTCCTCAAAAAATTAGGTTTGTGTGGCTTTTTGACAAGGGGGGGGTGGCCGAAAAAAATCTGTCTAAACTAAGCTCTGCTTTTGAAAGTGAGATCAGAAGATATGCAAATTCCCATAGAATTTGCATATCCTCTTTCAAATCTTCCCCGTAGTCTAGATATAGCCTTTATGTCACTGAACACATCTGAATCATTTCAAAAACCTGGTCTAAGATTCTTAGGTTGGAAGTTCTCAATCTTTAGGGGTAACTTCCAGCTTCAAAGTCCCCATCAAACAGTCATAAGGTAAGTCACACTGGAAGCATTCTAGTCAGGAATCCAAATATTTCCTCAAAATCACCAGCAATTTATCTTTCATTTATCAAGAGTCACAGCATTTGGCTGAACAGTTACTGTTATGATCCAGCCCTGTTCTTCTAGGGAAGGAGGGCTAAAAATGGACCCCATCCTGGGCCCTATAAGCTTCTAAACCCCTGCAGGTCAAGCCAGAATCTGTAGACCACATCTGAGAGCCCCTTCTTGAGTTGTGGGTCTGGGGAATTAGAACACCTTAGTCTATCAAAACCTATGCCTTAAGTTTTTGAGCCCATTACTTAAGTACACTCCCCTAGAGTTCCACTTTGTTTTAAGTATTCTGTCTCCAAAGGGATTAAACTGGGAGCCAATGGCAAAAAGCAAGGGACAAGATTGAAAGATTAACTTGTCATGCTCATTTAAAAAATAGCACTAGAGATCTTTCCAAGACACGTCCTGAGACATCCCCAGTCTTATCACTGAATGTGAGGTCTTGTCTGCCTTTTAGGCAGAGTCACTCCTGCCTTCTCTTCAGCAGATTTCTGCCTACATGTGGCGGTGGATACCACCCTCCAATACAATGTCTGTCAGCCAAACAGCCAGGCTGAGAAACTCCAGCTCTTTCCTTACAATGAGAAGGGTCATTGTTACATGTATTGGGCAAGTTGATAGTGTAAAACTGACTAAAGTGATCTAGGGCATTTAAACTAATTTTCTGGTACCATTCCTGGGCCAGCACTCACAGCATAGTAAGCGGACCATATGACCATGTACTTTTTCTGTGCAGATTAAAAAAATGTAATTCATACTCAAAACAGAAGTCTTGATTTTATTCTGTGACAGGACAGGACAGTGAGATGTGTAACACTATGGATTGAAGAGTTACGCAACTTTACCTCAATCATATTTGTCATGTACTGCACATGTTCTGCAAGTAATACTAGTTCATCATTTTCTTCTTTTAGACGGGCAATTTCACCATCTTTTTGTTCAATTTCTTTGTGAAGCTAGGGAAAAAAAGAAAATTGTATGTAGGATCTAGCAGGGAGGGGGGGGGGGGAGAAGAGTAAAAAGGGATTAAACCTGACTAGATACCTTTTCATTTTCTTGAAGAACTTCATACAGTGCCTTCCTCCTTTCTTCAGCCACTTCCTTCCAGTACCGAGAGGAAGGATTTTCTGTAAGAACAATACTCATGTAAATAAGATTTTACTTTTAAGATTGAGATTAGAAAAGTTTAAATATAAGAGCTCCATAATATGCTTTGAGTATGTGTCATGTCAGTATTCTACAACCCATTCCAACCATCTGAAACCACTGGATTAGTTAACAAATGGGCCTTACTTGTAACTTGAGACATTTGATTTTATGACACTTCGGTCAAATTCAGGATTATACTAATTTGTTTGACATAAGGTTTGTGCATTTCCTGTAGCCTCTTCAAGAGTGTCACAACATGCACTGCAGAAACGGTCTTAACTGCAAGGCAAATTGGACAGAGCCACTTTCAAAATGAGTACTGGAAGAACAGGCTCATAAGCTGCAAAGGCTGAGAGCTTCCAAGACACCAACCACACAGCTAGAACCCAGATAATCTCATCTTATAACAGTTTATTTTAAAAGGAGATCAGTCTAATTACTTGGTTGGCAAGTGGTAGTATGACTTCAGTTATGACAGCATGTTAATTCAAAGTACAACTCCTAAAGTTTAAACATTGGTGAGCCTTACAAACTACTGGCCAAGGCACCTTAAGGTTACATCTACACTGCAGGCTTCTTGCAGAAGAGCCTTTTGGCGGAAGAGATCTTCCACAAAAAATTCTTGCGAAAGAGAGCATCTACACTGAATGGACTCTTGCACAGGAAAGCTCTGATGACCATTCAAAGAATGGCCATTGGAGCACCTGTGCTTTTTCTGATGTGTAAAAACAGCCTAAGAAACCTGTTTGCTGTCCACACACCTTTTCACGCAGGAGCTCTAGCACAAAAAGGCTTATTCCTCCTAGAAAGAGGAATAACTCTTGCACAAAAAAGCTTACGCGAGGTACTGTAAATCTTCTTGTGCAAAAAAGCACTTGTAGTGTGGATGCTCCATGTGTTTTTGCACAAAAAACTGCAGAGCTTTTGCGCAAAAACTCTGCAGTGTAGACATAGCCTAAGTGAGGGTGTAAAACTTTTGAAGTCTGGGTAGGTCTGCATGAATCATATTAAAATGGGTAAGTGTTGCTATCTAAAGTTGGCAAGCGCCAATTTAACAATTTTAAGCCCATTATTTGCTTTCAGTAGCATACATAAAGCAAGTAGTATCGAGACACACACGAAATTTCTAGCAATGGCATATTGTTTGAAGCATAAAATAAGACAACATACTTTTTGCCATGAGATCAACAGCTTGAATAACTCCTTGTAGATTTTCATTTTCCTGTTCTGAGCCTAAAACAGCTTTGCATGTCTTTGCAGTTAGCTGATCACTCCAAAGTTTCCTTTTGATTGAACATTTAGCAGGCTGTAACACAGTAAGTTTGTTTTTCCACAGATACCATTTCTCCTTGACAATTCACACGTCTTCATACATTTACAGTCACCTATGCTATACCAACAGCATCATGACGTTTCTATTTCTATAGGTGCAGAAGTCTGTATTTTGAGTGTGATACAACTGCATTCCAATTCACCTCCAGATTTCCTACAGGAAAAGCTTAACTCACAAAACACTCAGCACTGACAACTTGCTTGCACTACCGAGCATTTCTTCTCAAGTGCCTTCAAAGGCTTTAAAATATTTATACTAGATTGGCTATTTAAAGTTAAGTAATTACTGTACAGCAGTGGTCTGCAACCTTTTTACACCCAAGATCACTTTTTAAATGACAGACCAAGCCAAGATCTATCACCCCGCCCCCTTCCTTGAAACTCTGCCCCTTCCTTGAAGCCCAGCCCTCTCTATTCTCCTCCTCTCCATCACTTGCTATCCCCTATCCTTTTACTGCTGCTTTTTTTTTAAATTCTTCTATAGGAAGAGGTTTTTCCAACATTTGGCCTGTCTAGACTGGACCAAAAGTCAGAAAAAACCCTTCTTTTGGAAGCCCCCTTATTCCTCGTGGAAAGAGGAATACAGTGGTTACCAAAAGAGCGCATTTGCTCTTCCACTAAAAAAAAAGCGCGGAGGAACAAACATCCCTGGATGCAGACGAATTTTTCTGGGATCTCTCTGGAATCCTGAAAAACTCCTGCCATCTAGCTGTACCCTCGCTGGGTTGAGCTAGGATGTGTAGGCTCTGGGGTGGGAATGAGGGATTTGGGTGCGGGAAGAGGTGAAAGCTGTGGGAAGCAATCTGGATGCAGGAAGAGGTGGAGAAAGGGACACTGGTTCGGGGAGGGGGCTCCAAGCCAGGCAGTGTTGGGGTCAGAGGAGGGTGTGAAGGCTGGGACTATCACAGTTTAAAGAGAAGCTAGATAATTTCATGGAGGTTAGGTCCATAAAAGGCTATTAGCCAGGGGATAAAATGGTGTCCTTGGCCTCTGTTTGTCAGAGGCTGGAGAGGGATGGCAGGAGACAAATCGCTTGATCATTGTCTTCGGGGTCCACCCTCTCTGGGGCACCTGGTGCTGGCCACTGTCGGCAGACAGAATACTGGGCTAGATGGACCTTTGGTCTGACCCAGTACGGCCGTTCTTATGTTCTTAGGGTTGGGGTACTAAACAAGCCACAGGCTTATGGATGTGAGGGTGCAGGAATCTGGGTTGGGGTATGTGAGGGGCTCAGGGCAAGGGGTTCCAGTGTACGATGGGCTTGGATCTAGGGTCTGGCGGAAAGAGGAGTGCATGAGTGTTATGATGCTGTGGCCAGATGGGGGCTTGGCCCCAATTGGGGGTTGTTGGCCAGGCTTCATTTTTAAATAAAATACTATGACAAACACAAAGAGTTTGTACATTGTCTTTATATATGAGAAGGGCAGGGAACCTGTTCTGAGTCAGGGGTCACTGACCCACAGGAAAGTCAGATGGGGCCACACAAGTGAGATAAAAAGAAAAAAGGACTCCTCCAAAACCCCCCCCAAGCCTCACTAATGTGGCCCCTACACTGCTGGTGGGAACAGGGAACATGGTAGTGAGGAAGGGTGCTAGTGGGTACTGGGGCAGGGGTCAGGGTGCCAATGGGGGCAGGGTTCTATAGCTGAGGACAGGGGAGAGGGAACAGGGTTCTGCAGCAGGGTGGGGTGGGTGCTGGGAGGGCAGGGAACAGGGTGCCAGGGGGACCGAGTCCCCTGCACCCGTCTTCTCCCAGGACTCACTCTCCCTCCTCCACCCCTCCCCATGTAGAGGAGGGAAGCCATGTTGCACACCTCCTGTGGGGCAGGGAAGCCCTAGTCGCATGCCCCCTCTGCGCCCAACTCCCCCTCCCGTGGAGCAGGGAAGTCCCGTCGCACACTTCCTCCGGGGCCTGTGAGAGCCTCCCACGGAGCAGGGAAGCCTCCGCACATGCCTCTGGGGACTCCCCGATAAGTTCCCAGCACACCACAGACCTGGGGCAAGGAAGCAGCCAGTGTATTTCCAGAACCCCTGGAAGTGACATGCAGCTCAAGACTTCCATCCACACAGCAGGAAGCCACCACTACCTCCATTGTCACTGGAGGTAGGTAGTGGGGCTTCTTGGGGGTGGAGAAAATGAGGGGCCCGGAACACCTCACGGTCGACCGGTCGAGGCCTCATGATCGACTGACTGGTGACCATGGCTGTACAGTTATAGATATCATATGCACTTTAATGTAGATAGTACTATAATTGCATCATACATGTAATTAAGTTACTACAACAGATTAGATTGTAGAGTTATTCCATCTTAATACTTACTTCCTTTACCCTGCCAACAAGGCATCCTGTTGCTGAATGTTGAATCATTTTAAGAGTCTGTCTTGGGGCTGAGCTTACATTGCCTGTGAAGTACTTCTTGGGAAAAACAAACAAACAAAAAAACAAAAACAAACAAGAAGTTAATAGAAAGCAGTTAAACTTCTGGATGGAGTAGGGTAATTTAAGCTATCCACTTGTCTTTCCTAAGGACAGGATTAACAAATTTTGTTTTAATCTAGTTTTTGATTTACTACACTACAATTACAATATGGCTTTTATCTTTAGAAAAGCTAGATCTTTAGTGATCTATAAAGGCTGAAGACCTGCATATGCCTTATCTTAGTTAAGACCGCCATTCTCTTATTTCCAGGGCTTGACAAATCACTGAATCTATTTGCCAGTGATGAACAGATTTCAGCTGGTCGCCCTGTTCACCGGCGGCACACACATGCGCAATGCGGGTCTTGCGCATGCATGCACAGTGCGGGGCTGGCAAGTAGGTTTCGTCGCCGTTTGTCAAGCCCTGCTTATTTCTATACCACACACTGGAACTATTTTAAGCAGGTCAGGAAGCAACTGTATTCTAACAGAGTTCCCAATTCACTTATTGGACAAGTGTTTCTTTAACCTCACAAATTATACTATCATTCACCATAGGTGAATGCTTCAGTGCTTTGACAACTGTTTTAGGTGATAAGAGTGATACTTTGTGCTCCTGGTGATTTCATTCGTTCAAACAGCTGGAAAATCTGCACAGGTAGTTACACAAGTTTTTTATATGTAAATGGTTCTTCAAGGGCTGTACGCATTGAACAAATTCTACTTCAATCAATCAAAGAGGTGTCTAGAATTTCCTTGCTTGGGGCATAATGCACTGATCCAGGAAGACTATTGTTTTGTGGAACAGAATATTTATCACCTTTCCTTGTCCTAGGTCAATACTTATTTCCTGCATTAAAGCTTTTTTAAACCATTAGTTACACTGCCACCAAGGGACAGCAAACAATGGTAGACAAACAGGGATACCAAGAACACAATACTATGCAAGCGTGAGAAAGTTACTGATTCACACCGTACTTCACATGACAAGAGTTCACCTTTCCCACGGTAAAATTTCTGCCACCAATTATTTCTCTGTTCAACTAGAGGACAAATGCCAACTACTGTGGGAACCAGCATTAGATTCTATTTGCAGCTACTGAAGATGATTGGTGAATGCTCCCCTGGTAAAATTAATACTATGCCAGGTGTTTAAGTTAACCCATTGTTCTTAATATTGAGGTAACCAGTGAAGCATCCACAAAAGTGAGTGAGCCAGACTCCAAGATCATAACTATATGCTTGTTAAGATAACCCCAAGTGTTTAGTTGTGTCAAGCCATTTTCAATAAAACTGCAACTTTCGTTATACATTTACTATTTATCCTCTTAAGGATATGGATTAGACTTTGCACCCTACACAGGGGCATCCTGTCCATAGAACTGTTCAGCAGCACCACCTGAGGACCTGTGGGGCCTAGGGCTGCCCAGGGGACTATCAGGTCCTGGTGTCCACTAGGGATGTTGCTACACTTTGAAGGCAAAAGCGCTGCATGGAGCATTTCAAAGCAGCACCACCGCACAGAGCTCAGAGTCAGTGGGGGAAGTCCCTAGCTGACCCCAGACTCCAATGGGCGCTGCTGCTTTGAAACGCCATGTGGGGCCTGGAGACACTACAGCTGGCCCAGGGCTGCACAGTGTTTGAAAGCAGCAGCGCCACACGGAGCCCAGGGTCTGGCTCCAGATAGTGCTTTGAAGTACCCTCTCCACTTGCTGCCTCTTTCCAATAGCCTGTCAACTATCCAATAAGCATTTGCTTGTCAGATAGTCGACTAGTCCTTCACATCCCTAGTGCCCACAGAAGGGTTGGGCCAATCCTCCCCACTACCAGCAGCAAAGTAAAGTGGATCAACCTGGTTCCAATTGACTCCATGTTGCTTGGGGGAATGGAGCTCAGGAGAATAGATAGAACCACTCCCTCCATTCACCAGCAGTAGGAAGCAGAGCAGGCTAGGACTAGCTCACTCTGGTTCCCACTACTAGTGTGTGTGTGGGGGGGCACCTCAGGCCTTATGCCCCATAGGGATAGCTTGTAAAATCCCATTTAATTGGTTAACTGGTTAAACATGTTTAACCAATTCAGGGGTGACAGGAGTGACACCCCCCTTCTCCCTGCACACCATGGCTAGGCTAGAGCAGTCCCCTCCCGCAGGAGGCAGGAGCTGCTCCAGCCCTGTTTGCAGCAAACCCTTGCAGGGCTGGAGCAGACCCCTGCCCTTGACAGGTGGGGCACAACTCCAGCCCTCACTGGCTAATCAGATTTGATAAGCATCACCCATTGAAGATGATGCTTACTAGTTAACCTTTCACATTTCTACTTACACCATCACAGGTACCCACTGGGACCCCACTGGGAGCTCCTGTACATTTCAAAGGGAGAGGTGCAGCAAGATAGCAAGCACCCTCCAACAGACTAATAGAGTAGTTGATGGAATTTCCATCAGCTATTCAATTAGCTGATCAAATTTTAACATCCCTAGTAACAGCACATTACATTCCCACTAAAACCAGACAGCCCTTTCATCTGGGTTGCCTACTGACCTCGGAAGGTCATCTTCTGAAATCCCCACTGTTTTAAGAGGTCTTAAAAATTACCCTGCCACTTTTCTGCTGTTAGGTAGAGCTATAAGAGTTTAACCAGTTAACCAATAAGCATCCGTTTATTGGTTTGCTCCAGTTAAACTCTTTTGCTCTGCAGGCACATGCCAGGTCCTGGCCCTGCGCCTGGGGAGCCAGAGGCACTGCAGGATTTGCAGTATAAGTCTAATGCTGGGGGCTCTGCAGCATGAGGTGGTAGGTGGCTCCCTGGGAGCTGTGTGGCAGGGCGGGAAGGGAGGGGGGTGCGAAGAGGGCGAGAAGCACCCCTACACCACCCCTTCCCTCTCTAACCACACCCAGCCAAAAATGGCTGGGCATGTAACCATTAGGATTTTTAACAGGTACATGGTTAGTTTAACTCATTTTACATCTCCACTGTTAGGCATCCCATTTTGATTTATGTGCTCTAGAACAGGGCTACTCAACATGCGGTCCACAGGCAGCCTGTGGTGTGATTTAGGTTTACATGAGGCTCAACACAGGGCCCGCAGGTGAGAGCCTATGAACATGGCCTCCAATGGGAACATGCTCCACAACTGAGAGAGTCAATATAATGGTTTTCTGTTGATAAATGTTTTAGTAGTTAAATTACTGGACTGTTATTGTTCATTTAAAATGCTATCATTTGGGTGGAAATCAGGTAAATATTGCATTTTATCGATAACAGCAGAACTGACTTAAATGGGGCCTGCCGGTTGTGTAGTCTCATCTTAATTTTTGTATTCATGCACATCAGTGTGAAAGAAGCTATTTGCATATATATGCAACCACAATTAAGTTGTGGGCTTTGCATGGGCTCTGAGTATCACTGAGGCCCTCAGGGCTTCCAAAGTTGAGTAGCCCTGCTCTAGAATCTGCCATGTGCAGACATTAAATAATGTCTAACTTGACTGTAGAACTTAATTTGGTCCTTGTGCATTTAGCAACCATTTTAAAATGCATTATTTGAGTTTGCTATGGTAGACAAAGCAATGTCAGTTTTCCAACTTCATAAATGAGGCTTCAATTCTAAGGATTTTTCTTCAAGCATTAAAATAAGAGCACTGCCTCAGAAAAATGCAAGACAAATGTATGCTACACTTCAAAGGCAGAGATGCCCTATCAACTAATTGAATAGTCGATGCAAAATGCATCAACTATTTGATTAGTAAATTACCTGCAATTTAACAGCCCTAAAACTTACATTAATAAATTTACTCATTTTAAGTAGTCTCATACAGAGCTGATTATAAAGCCCCCCGCTATTTCCTGTGGTTTATTTTCTTTGCTTTACAACCCTTGCCAACAGAGAAGCCAACTACAGGGCTGGGAAAGTAAGACTTCAAAGAGTTCTAATCCTCCTTTATACTATTCTATGTATTACTGCAGGATATAATCCTGTAAAATATAGTACAAGTAGCTTTATATTTACTGAATGGTTTAGGGAACTGGTAACAAGATACAAAGTCTGTAGAAACCACCAATTCACATGTGACCCAGGTTAGTAGTATTTGAAGTGTACACACACAATGTTATGTATGCCCCAACTCAGGGTCTCTTACAGATAAATAACTCAGTTTGCATGTACACATCAAGTTCCCATATGTAAATACATGCCTGGAACTTAATTGACACTTTTGAAAATCTTCCCATTTCATGCTTTAAAAAGATTATTGAAACACTGAGAAAGCTGAGTGCAGATTATGGCATTAAGCATGGCTTGCAGGAGTCAGTGTACGGCAGTGATCACCAACCAGTAGATCAGGATCTACTAGTAAACCTTGGAGCCTCTGACAGGTGATCCAGACTAGTTTGGCTAGGAAACTATCAGGTGCTGGCACTTCAACTGCTCTTCCTCCCCCACCCTGCTGCTCCTGTCCAGAACCTCAGAGCTGCCCCCTGGGAGCCTCCTGCTTGTTGTGTAGAGTAGGGGAGACAGAGGCAAGGGGGGGGGGGCACTGATGTCACTCTGTTCCCCTCCCCTTTACCCCCATCTTCACAGAGTAAGGAGGGTGGAGCCTTGGCAGAGAGGTGGGGGCAGAACCTGGGCCTCAGCAAAGGAGCAGGACCAGGGTACTTGGGTTTGAGGTAGAGCCTAGACGGATTTAAATTCAGAAGCGATCTTGGGCTTAAAAAGCTTGGAGACCACTGGTGTAGGGGGTTGGAGAGTGAGTGCGCGTAGAGGGGAAGTTCAGGGCTGGGACCTATCCCACAGTCAGGGGTGGCCCGTCCAGATAGGCAAACTAGGCAGTCGCCTAGGGCGTCAAGTTAAATGGGGCAGCAAATGGTGGCACAATATCATTGAGGGGTTTGGAGGTGGGGGGTGCTGATTGCAGGGTTTACCTAGTTGCTGGCAGCTAGTCTAGGGCCCCCCCTGCCCACAGTGCTCCATTCCCAGCCAAAGGGGGTAGGAGAGACACATGGAGGTTGGCTCAGAGCCCGGGCAGCGCCCCCACTTCCCTTCAACTTTAGAAGGAGGGTCCCTACCTCTGCACAGGCCAGGAGGGCGGATTCTCCCTCGCTTTTTAGCGACCATTGCAAAACGGGGTGGGCATCAGAGGCGCGCCCCAGGCTGCATCTCAAGCCACTGCAGCTGCCAGCGCAAAGCCCCCGCCCCCCCCCCACAGCCGCGCCCCGCGCCACCGCGCCGCCT